CGTGGGTTTTCTCTGGCTGTCCCAGGTGCTGGGAGAGAACAGGGCGTGAGGAAACAGCAGAACTTCTCTCAAAGGACCTCAATGCTCAGGACCTGTTGTGGCTTTTACCTCACCCACGTCACGGGAGACAGAGCAGGAGCCCCAGGGGCTCGGGATGTCCTGGAGCTCCCTGGGCTGGAGTGTCCCTGTGTGCCCTGTCCTGTCCTGGAGTGTCCCCTGTGCCCAGGCTGTGCTGGAGTGTCCCCTGTGCCCTGTCCTGTCCTGGAGTGTCCCTGTGCCCAGGGCTGTCCTGGAGTGTCCCCTCTGTGCCCTGCCCTGTCCTGGAGTGTCCCCTGTGTGCCCTGTCCTATCCTGGAGTGTCCCTGTGTGCCCAGGGCTGTGCTGGAGTGTCCCTGTGTGCCCTGTCCTGTCCTGGAGTGTCCCTGTGTGCCCAGGCTGTCCTGGAGTGTCCCCTGTCCCCTGTGCCCTGTCCTGGAGTGTCCCTTGTGCCCAGCCCTGTCCTGGAGTGTCCCCTGTGTGCCCTGTCCTGGGGTGTCCCCTGTGTCCAGCCCTGTCCTGGAGTGTCCCCTGTGTGCCCAGGCTGTCCTGGAGTGTCCCCCCTGTGCCCAGGCTGTCCTGGAGTGTCCCCTGTGTCCAGCCCTGTCCTGGGGTGTCCCCTGTGCCCTGCCCTGTCCTGGAGTGTCCCCTGTGTGTCCAGCCCTGTCCTGGGGTGTCCCCTGTGCCCTGCCCTGTCCTGGGGTGTCCCCTGTGTCCAGCCCTGTCCTGGAGTGTCCCCTGTGTGCCCTGCCCTGTCCTGGAGTGTCCCCTGTGTGTCCAGCCCTGTCCTGGGGTGTCCCCTGTGCCCTGTGCCCTGTCCTGGGGTGTCCCCTGTGCCCTGCCTGCCCTCCAGGCTGTGTTGGGAGTGCCAGCAGCACCTGCACACTGACAGAACACGGGGCCAGCTCAGCCCAGGAACAAGCCAAAGCATTACCTGTATGTTTGGAGATGCACTTTTCTGAATGTAGTTTATATCGCTCTTTTTTAGCTCTTTTTACATCATGTAAACGGTGATGCCTCATATTTTTTTTTTTAATTTATATCGTAAAAGATCATATTTGGTGATTTTTATATATATCGACTGTTACGGGGTGGGGGGAGGTGGGGAAATGAATTTGACGCCTTTATGAATCTGAAAAGGAAAAAAAAGCAGCTGGTTTTGCAGAGAATTTGCTGATGGTTTATAATTAGTAGAGCCAGGCCAAAATGCCTCTTTGTTTCCTCACAGCCCTCTTGATTATGGAGAAGGAAGATCTGGATTCCTGAGTCCCATGAATAACTTGGGGCTGACATGGATACCACGGGCTTTTAACAGCCCTGGCAGCAAAAGAGTTTCAAGTGGACAGAAATGTAATTATACCTCAGAATTGGATTCTATCTGGCCTCTTTATCCTGGCAGATTAGGAAAAAACTGGGAATAAACTCATTTAGGGGAGAGTGGAGGAGGAGTGCCAGGCTGACAAAAAGCTATTGTGTCAATTCCAAATGTCATGCTGGATTTCCTGCTGCTCCTTCCAGGGAGGGATGTATAGGGAATATTGAGTATTGGGATCCCTGATGGAAGGTGCTGCAGAAATGGAGAATATTCTGTTTGACAAAGAATTCCTCATCAGAGACCCAGTGTCCTGAAATGGTTAAAACTAATCAGAAGAATGCCCGAGATTCCCACTGGAGAGGAACTCAGGGGAGTTTGGCTGTCCCTGAGGTAGTTAGGAAACAAAGCAGTGACATTTTGGTCTTGGTGTGACGATTCTGTGCATTCCAGGTTATTTGCTTGTTCTCCAGAAAAACCCATCTTTGCCCATTCTAGTGGCAAATAGGTTGCATCAATTTGGATGGGTTTTTTGGGGTGGGTTTTTTTTTTTGCCTAATTTGGAATAATATTCCAAATACTGAAGCTGCTCCAAAGAGTTCCCATTGGCACCTGTTACCAGCACTGACTGACCAGGAGGGAAAGGTAGGTGTGCCAGGAGCACTTCAGAAAGGGAGAAAAGGATTTTGTTACACCATGAACGATGCAAAGCAGGGAGAAAGGGCTTTAACCTGGATTGTGCAGAAGACCTTGACCCAGTAGTCTCTATTTACTGACCCGGGGCTTGCAGTGCAAAGCCAGGCCAATGTATCATTTTATTTACAATAAAATTATCATTTATATGAAAGCCTGTTTCGGTGACTTTTTAAAAAAACAGAATTTGGAGAAGGAAGGCCTCTGGTTTTCAGACAAGTGGAAGATACCATGAGCTCCCTTCCAGGTGCTGCACTGACTGTAACAGAGATTTGGGGCTTTGCTGGAGAATGGGTAACCACATCAGATATTTTCAGGGTTTCATTTTTTCAGCTTGCTGTTTTAACAACAAACCGAAATAGAGCTGCTATAGAATTCCTCTGTCCTTGCTGAAAGGTTGATTTTTTCCTGTTGATGCAGCTTCTCTCTTCGGTGTCACTGTCACTTGATCAGAGTCCGGGTGCCACTGGAGGAGCTGTCCCTCCACCACAGCCAGCCTCCAGCCACCTTCTCCCAGGCTGTAGCTGCTGTCAGTGAAACGCTGCAATATTTGTCAGTGTGAAACGTGAACAGAGCAGAAGAGGGGGCTTGGCCAGCTGATAGAATAGAAACCCTGCACATGAACCCAGCGTGTGTGTGACTCTTGGGGCTGTGCCAGCACACATGAGAACCATCAAGTGCAGTGTCAGAACAAAAAACGTCTCGTGGAACCAGAACAAACCAGCTCCCCCTGCTCCCTGACACCCCCTTGTGTGTCAGAACCCACAGACCTGCCTTGGCCAGAGCAGGAACTTGGGAAAACTCTGTTGCCTTCACTTGGAGGAGTTTCTCCCCAAAGCTGATGCCGTTTTTCTCCTTTCCCCTCGCCGTGTTCAGTTTGCTGGCAATTCTCATCTCAGCCCTGTCTGATGTTTTCTCCTGGACTCCCTTCCTGTCACCCCTCTCAAAAGAGAGCAGCTCCAGAGTAATTCTGCTTTCCATAAATACAGAGTTATTCCTAACTGGAACCTTGCCCCCAGACACAGAATATCCTGAGCTGCAGGGAACCCACAGGGAGCATCCAGCCCAGTTCCAGGCACTGCAGGAATCCCACCTGTGAATGGTGCTTGACCAGGGGCTGGCAGAAGAAAATATTCTGAGTCTTGAGGGTAGGAATGATCAGCCTGAAAACACTGACTAAAGCACAAAAGAAATGCAGCAAGGACCCTCAATTGTTTTTATTTCTGGCAATTTCTGTTATTTGTGTTGTATGGCCCAGGTGAAGGGGACTCTAAATCCACTTCTGAAGCAAATAAAATTTAAAAATCTCTACAGAGGTTGGCTGTACTGCACTGCTGTGGCTCTTTCTTTTGGGGCAGTAAAGTGTGAACCAGGAAGTGTCTTCTGGATTTAATACTGCTCAGGTGTGGGTGTATTGCATTACACCCAGGAACTGCTGGCACAATCCACTCTGCCTGGTGCTCTGTATCTCATCCAGAACTGGACATGTGGATGGTGTGGATATGGAGTCACAGGGATTCGTACTGATTTCTCTTTTTCCCCAAACAGCTTTTATTACATGACTGTGCTGGCTTGAATTCCTGTGCTCTGGGAAATGTCAAGGCTGGCTGGTGCTGTGTGGAAGCACAAGGGAAGGTGTGAGGGCTGTGATACAAACAAAGGTTTTGATCATCAGTCGTTTGTTTCTGGGTGGCAAGAGCAGCTCTGCCCTCGGACAGGAGGGATTGCAGTGGCCTTGGGGCACTTTCCACGCTCTGCTCTGAGCCAGGATTGTTCTGGAGCTGCCCTGGCACAGCTGGAGCTGCCCTCGAGCTCTCACTGCAGCCCCTGGAGCCCAGGAGAGCTGTGGCATCCCTGATTTTGGCTGCAGCTTCTGACTGAAAACCCAGCCTTAAAAACCTGGGGGGTTCACGCTTGCCTCCCCCCTGAAACCATGTGGCATTGTTAGAACCCTGCTCGTCCCTGAGCTGGGAGCTGAGGGAAGTGAGGCCAGCCAGGGGCAGGAAGCAGAACCCAGGGCTCTGCTTTCATTTTCTGAGCCTTCTGAAGGAGGAAGGGGCCGGGGAAGGGGCCCCAAGGCTGCAGCATCACAGCCCCTGGGCAGGGCTGCTCAGGGGGGGCTTTTTTGGGGTGTAAATTTGCCACCTGCATGGTGGGGACAGCCCAAGCTCTTGGTGAGGCTGAATTTCCCAACAAGAGAGCCTTGCCGGGGTCTGTGTGCACAGTCCCTGTGCTGTCTGTGTCCCCAGGCCATGTCAGGCTCCTCTGTCCCCCTGCAGAGCTGTCCCCAGGGTCCCTGTGACCATGAGACATCCCCGCTGTGGAGCTGCTGGCTGTGCCTGCAGGGAAACACTGATGTGGAGTTTGAAATCCCGGTTCAGTTCCCAAAAACTTGGGGGCCCCAAGGGGGCTTTTGGTCAGGGCCTGCACCCTGGTCACGTCTGCCCAGTCCCCTGAGCACTCCCCAGGGAAGGCTGGGCTGCCTCCTTCCCTGCCCTCCCAGCCTCTCTCCCTCGCAGGGATCCAGGAATGTTTCCTGCCTGCTCACCAGCTCTTCCACAGTAGCTGGGCAGTGAGAGGCAGATCTGACCACCAGTCCCCCCTCCCCAGGCCCCTGGGAACACAGCACAAGACAGGGAAGGCTCGGAAACCTTGTATTACAAAAATAAAGGAGCGCGTGTGAAGCTGCCGCGAGGCTCCAGCGCAGAACGTACCAGTGGAAGGCAAATATAAAAAAGAGACACTGTCAAACCATGGCAGGGCAACATCCTTAAGGCTGAACAATCCCAGCTGGACTGAGCTGATGTAAACCAAGGACCCTCCTTATGCAGAGCCCCAGCAAAGCAGGGTTGGGGCTGGGAGCTCTGCAGGGACTCACAGGCTGGAGAAGCCCCCAGCTCATCTCCTTTTCCATGGTGACAGGGGGGCGATTGCTTCTGCTCTGATCTCACTGGGAGAGGGGCCTGCAGGACCCCTCTGAGCTCCCCCCTCTCCCCTCCCACCGGTCCTGCTTTATTTACATCAGCTCAGTCAGCCCCGGCTCAGCTGCTCCGGCTCTGCTGGGCTCCAGGAGCAGGGCTGGCCCCTCTCAGGCTGACTTGGTGCCACTCTCCACCTCCTTGTGCACCCACAGCTCCTTGTGCTGCTTGCGCCCGAAGCCCTCGTCGTAGTTGCCTTTGCTCTTGAAGAGCTGCTGGAAGTGGGGCTTGCAGTAGAATTCCCCGTGGAGAGCAGCGTAGCTGCCCAGGCTGGGGAGAGAGGGCAGGGTCAGGACTGAGCTGCAGCCTGGGGAAAGGGGGGGCCTGGGGACACCAGGACAGCAGAGGGGGGACATGCAGGAGGGGACCCTTGGGGCCAGCAGCCCCCTCCCACCAGCAGAGGCTGTTGGGGGTGCTGTGAGTGGAGATGGGGGGTCCCCAGGGAGCTCAGCCTGGGCTCTGTGTCCTCTGGAAGGGACATCTGCTGTGATAGGTGGGCTGGGGGTCTTGGGCTACTGGCCAAGCAAGGGGCTGTGATGGGGGGGCACTATTTGGGAGGGTCTCAGCAGAGCTGCAGGGACACCTGCCCCACCACGGGGACAGCCCAGCTCACCTGAGCTTGGTGTGGCAGTGCTTGCAGCAGAAGCAGGAGTTGTGGAAGACGAATTTATCAGCCACCAGGCGCTCCATGGGGTACACGGTTTTCTGGCAGGCAGTGCAGATTTCCTTCACCTGTGCCTTCAGGCTGAAGGACTGGCCAAGGGCAGGGCAGAACAAAGAGAGACAGAGAATGAGGAAGGAGTTTGGGACACCCTGGGTCCCTCCACTGCCCTCTTCCCTGCCCTCCATTCACCAGAGCACTGGGAGCAGCCCCATGTCCCTCACCCTCCCCGGGCCACTCCACTGATGCTGGGCTGGACTGGAGCTTGGCCCTTGGGCTTTTGGCCCTTCCACCCTTGCCAAGCATCAGCAGGACGAGGCCCTGGCCCAGGTGCCCAAGGCCAGGCTGGACATTGGGGCAGCCTGGGACAGGGGAAGGTGTCCCTGCCCATGGCAGGGGTGGGACTGGATGAGTTTTAAGATCCATTCCAACCCAGGCCATTCTGGAATCATTCTGTGGTAGAAAAAGCAAAAGTACCTTGGAGCGCTGCACTGTGCTGCCTCCTGAGCTGTTCTTGGCCTCCTAAAAAGGGAAAGAGAAAGCAAAATGAGAGCTTGGCACCAGCCCCTGCCAGAACCCCGTGTGACCTGCACCTGTAAATGATCACCTGTGGCTCGTGCAGCCACACCCAGCTCTGCCCCCGGCCTTGGGGCAGGACAATGAACTGCACCTGCTGGAGGGCTCGGGGTCAGTGCCATTCCCCCCGGGCAGAATTCCCCCCTTCCCAAAGGGATCACACTCAGGATGTCCCTGCTGTCCCTGTCCTTCTCTGGCTGCAGTTTTGGCTCTGCCTGCCCAGCGCTGCCCTCTCTGCCCCAGGCTTTCCCCACCCCCGTTCCTTGTCCTTCCCCATCGTTTCTCCTTTGTATTTCTGGAAGCAGTTTGTCCAAGATCCGCACAGGAAACTCTCCCCTGGCCCAGCTCCTCTCAGACGTTTCCCAGCTGCTCTCTCTGCCTGAGGTCAGGGCTGATTTTCCTCTCCCTCCCTCGGGGCTGGAAGCAGCAGCCAAAGTCAACAGAGGGACACGGGCAGCCAGGAGGCTCCGTGTAAAACCAGTTGCATCCCTTGGCACCGGGAGCACAAGCACAGGTGCTCTCCTGGGGTTAGGCTTGGATTTGCTGTTTCCAGGCTCGGCTGAGGGAAGCGCTGCCCCTCTGGAGCTCGGACACATCCGTTCCCAAGGCTCCAGCAATCCACGCCTCTGTCACTTCTCGGCAGCCTCCTGGCCCTCCAGGCACACTCTCCATTCCAGATCTGATAGATCTTCCCTCGGGAAGGGCCGTATCCTGTCCCAGCAGGAGATGTTCTTGAACCTTGATGTTTTTCCATCTCCAATCACTCCAGCCCTAAGCAGCTCGAAGGCTCTCAGTTGTGATCAGGAAAGCCATGGAAACACAAACAAACAGAGCAGAGAGCTGTGGATGGAGCAGAGCCCGAGGCTCCGTGTGCTCAGCAAACAGCACCTTCTGCTGGAACATTCCTGCCCCCAGCCCTGCTGCTGGACTGGGCCTTTGGGCACCCCCAAATGTCAGGTCAGGAGCAGCTGCTGTGCACGGCCCTCCCTCCCTGAGAGCCCAAACCCAGCCGAAATCCCCACACAAACCACAGGATGCACCTACATGAGCTGGGGGTGGGCTGGCTGCTCCCGTGGCCTGGAACATGGTTCCTTTCCTTTGTTATTTAATCCTGAGCTTGGAGTCTGGGGCTCGATGTTCCCTGCGGAGGGGTCTAACACAGACCTCTTGCAACACCTGGAAAGGAAATGTCGTCAGGAGTGGGGCTGGTTTCACCACCCAAACCCTCAGAGCTTCCTCCGTGGGGTCAGATCAGCCTCGCTGCTCTGGGGCTCCCTGAGGGACACGAGCAGGACAGGACCTGCAGCTCCGGAACAGCAGCTGGAGGCTCAGAACACCTCCAAGGTTTGTGATGGTTCTACTGCAAACCCACCCATGCAAGCACCCAGCAGGCACTGACCCCCCACGGGCAGCAGAGCCAGCACCCCGAGCCCACTGTGCAGACACTAAAGGACTGGTGCTGCTGCAGGAAGGAGTGTGATTTCAGTCTAATTTTAGCCCAGAAAAGTCTCGCTGATCACAGCTCAGCAGAGCAAGTGATGGGGATTTTGTCTCCTGGAGAAGCCCAGGTCACCTCCAGGCTGAGCCCTGTGGATGTGCTGGGACCAGCACAGGAAAAAAACACCAGCACTGCAAATCACCCCTTTTGGTAAAAAACAGCTAAAAAGGCACTGACAGCTCCTCAGGGGGTTTTCCCCACCACACTTTACTTTCAAACAGCCGTGAAAGATGAGCCCTGGTTTGAATGCCCAGGACAGGGCTGTGGGAGGGTGAAGGGCTCTGCAATGATGGGGATGAGCTGGAAACCAGCACCTCCCCCTGCCTGCCGCTGCTTTCCTGTCCTGCTGAGCCCCCCGGCCCCATAGTGCCACCCCAAAAACCTTCCTGCTGCCCAAGGACTGGGCCAGGCACGTCAGGCTGGGGGGTTTGGGCAGGGGCATCTCCTAAAGCCCATCCCACAGGGACTTCTGCAAACATGTCCTGAGTTTTAGGGGGCTGCCAGACCCCCAGCAGCTGACACCAGGCTTGTGTTCCACCCTGAAATTCAGGGCTGCTTTCAGAGTTTCACGTCCTGGGCACGGCTGGGTGCCCCTCACGGCCCTGGGGCTGCACAGCCCTGGTTGCAAATGTTCCACAGCCTCAGCTGAGACCTAGCCCTGCTCTATCGAAATCATTTCCCGTCTCTCTGCGGTTTGGTTGTTATTTCCTGCTCCCCGGGCTCGCTCGCAGGAGCTGCTGCCGAGCCCAGCATCTGCTGGGGGCCAGGGCAGCAGCCCAAGGCAGAGCCCTGCCTGCCCCATTCCCTGGCTCTGTGGGGTCTGTGGGGTCTGTGGGGTCTGTGGGGTCTGTGTGTCCTACGGCCCAGCACAGACCCTGCAGGGAGCAGGAGGGACCCAGAGACCGCGGGGTCCCCACCCCACACACACCCCAAGCACAGATGCACAGCCCTCCCCATTTTCACCTGCTTTTCACCTTCACCCCAGCCTTTGTTACAAATATTTTTCCTCCCCCAAGTTCCCTTCCCTCGCAGCTCATCTTCCCCCCTACCCCAGCCACCTTCCCCTCAGCTTTTCCAGCCTCTCCCCTCTTGCCCTTCCCCAGAAGCTGGTCCGGTGGAAGGTGAGATGGAATTTTGGAATGAGATGATCTTTAAGGTCCCTTCAACCCAAACCACTCAGGGGGTCTCTGCCAAGCACACAATTTTTGTGTCTACTAGTAGGTGTTTTCCACCTCCTGTTTGTTTCTTTACTCCTCATGCCCCCAAACCCCTTTCCCTGCGGTTCCAGCCCCTTCTCCCACCCCACGGATGTTTCCCCCTCCCGTCCCCGTCCTCCCCGCACGTACCCTGAGCGCCGGAGCCCCTCGGAGCAGCCCCGGGCAGAGCCGAGCCCTGAGGCCGCAGCAGAAATCTCCAGGGGAAGGGTGTGCTGGGCGATAAGGGAACCAGAGCAGGCGAGAAGCTGCAGGAGGCTCCGGGCTGCTGTCACGGCCCTGCCCACGAGCAGAGCTGGGGCTCCGTGGGGATGTGGTGACACGGGCAGTGCCTCAGGACACGGAGGCTAAAACCCCTCACACTCCTCGGGGCTCTCAGGGCAGCAGCGACACAAAGGACAGAGCCCTGGCCGTGCCCTGCAGCGGGGCTGCACCCCAACTGCTCCACACCTCTGCTCCCCGAAATCCCGAGCCACCTGCACAGCCCGGGAAGGGCAGGAGCCAGGACTGTCCTCTCCAGGCTGTGCCAGCAGTTTCAGGGTTTTGGCTCAGGACAAGGTGAAAACCCCTTTGCCTTCCAGCCTCTCCTTGTGCTCCCCTGTAGGGACTGATGGCTCCAAGAGAGGAGGAGTTGGAGGGAGGAAGACAACGCTGCTCCATCACAGAGATTTTTCCTAACAGCCTCCTGCATCCCCTCCCACCTTCCTGTCTGACCCTGGGGCAGGTGGAGGGAGAGGGAGCATCTGGGGTGGCCCCTCCAGGCAATCCCCCGAGCTCAACCCGCCCCTGAAGGATCACATTTCCCACAGCCAGGATGGGCACAGGGAGCCTTTCCCCCTTCCCCTCTGCCAAGGGGCCACCAGGGCTGCCCCAGGGCTGATCCAGCCCCATCCAGGGCTGGCCCCGGTGGGTTCCAGCACAGGGAAGGAGTGTGGCTGCAGGGGGAGAGGCCCCTCTCTGCCATCTGGTTCCCATTAGCAGCCCTGGGAAGGGTTTGTTTACTGCAGGGATCACTGCTCCATGGCAGGAGCCTTTCCCAAAGGATGGGGGATCCGGGCCCCTTCCTCTCCATCCCCAGAGGACAGGGAGCATCCCCAGAGCAGGGTCAGGCATGGGCAGGGGAGACACCTCAGAGAGGTGCCAGGCCTTCCCCCAGGAGATCATGGGCTGAGATGTGGCTGTGGGGATGGATGTCCCCGAGATCCTGTGCAGGATCAGTGAAACCCACACACAGCACAGCCCCGGCCCTCCAGCTCCATGGCCACCACCCCTCTGAGCTGGCCAGCGTGGGGAGGGGGTGAACAGGAGCTGGAGGAGCCTCTCTCCTGAGCCTGGCCAGCACCCAGCTCTGTTTCTGCAGTGCTGGGGTCCCACAGCTGACACACACCATGAAACAAAGCGTGGTGCAAATCCAGCATCAAACAGGCCAGCCCAGGGCCAGGGAAGGGATGATGGAGCCAGCCCAGGGCCAGGGAAGGGATG